TGCCTGTTTCCCCACAACTCTTCCACCCGGGGTTTTATCAGCCTTTTTCATTTTGGCTAATCAAGAGGTAAATACTGATATTTTAATGTTAGAAATTGCATTTCTTGATTACTGGTGAAGTTGAATACATTTTTATGTTTATTGGCTATATATTTTTCAATATTATTTTTATATTTTATATAATAATTTATAAAAATATACCTATTTTATATAATATACCTATTATATATAAATATATATTTTATATACATTTTATAATTATTATTCATCTATACATGTTTAAATATAGAGAGATTATGATTTTTCATTCTTTGCCCATTTTTCGATTGTTATATTTTATTCAAATGATTTTTAAACAACCATTTCCCCCTTTGAGTTCTAACGTTTATATTTTAGAAACACAGAAATTCAAAAACAGGAGTCCCTAGTTGTAATTGTATGCACTTTATATCGGCATAGTTTCCTATAATGAAGCGTGATTTATTAACTCATCTGTGAAAATGTCAATGTGATATTATACTTAAAGCAGAATGCTACTATTAGTTTTAACTATTTAAATCTGTTTTAATAGATCTAAAGACATCTTATGCAAACAGCAAAACAGGATGTGCAGTTTCCATAGAAACGAAAGCTAATATTATTAAAAAGGAATGAGCTGGGCTAGAACTCTTTCCCTCAGGAATCCTCATTTGCAACCAGTTCCTTGAATAAGTCGTACACATGAATTATACCACCTGACGCTAGTTAACATTAGTGATGCTTAATAAAGACTTCAGTAGGCATCTGATCACCACAAGGGAAAGGTTAATGTAAATTGCATTCCCTGCTAACTAATTTGGATTTTTATTTTAAATTCAAATTTTAAGTAAAACCATTTTATCCTGATTTCCTAGGAAGAGTTGTTCATTTCCATGCTAAAATTGAAATAAGAACAATAATGACAGTGCATGATTTTTTTTTCAACTTTGAAAATTTGGGTTATAAAGCAAACTTTTTCTATTGAACCGATTTTCTTATCAGCTTATATTATCAAAACGGAAAAAAAATTCTTAAGAAAACAGGCTTGTACAAAACAAATGTTATACACAAAAGCACCAAACCCCTTTTTAGAAGAATATGAAATAATTATATGACTCAGACTGTCAGAGTTTATAATTACTGTTCACAAATGGATAATTTCCTGTCCTAAAGAGCATCCCCTTGGGCCCAAACCACGTAGAGAATGATGTGTAATGTATATTACTCAGCCCCACAAATAAAGTCTACAATTCAGCCTCAAAATTCCCTTTTAAGGCTGTTACCTTTTCCGTATATTCTAGTAAGTCACATTTGCCTATGAAACATCTCAACTTAGTGCTGCCAGTGAGTCTTGCTGTTTATGCTCCTCTTTCATAAAGTGGAAAGAAGATTACTTCTCTTACTGTTGAATAGGGAATAGGGAATAGGATATCATAAAAAGATTATGAACATGAAAGCTTTCATGTTCATAATAATCATACCTTTGCTTTTAAAAAATAATTGAAAGCTGTGCACTTTCTCATTTGACCTTCACAGCTGTGATACTGACATTTGTATTATCACCTTGTAGACAAGGAATCTAAGACTCTAGAAGCTGAAGGGCCTTGCCAAAATGTCACAGCTAACAAGTGGGAGAGTTGGAACTCAAACTTACGTCCTCAGCCTTCAAATCATGAAATGTTTGAAAAGCTTCTGTTAATGTGTTTAGCCCACTTTTTAATGGGGTTGTTTGATGTTCTCTTGCTGATTTGCTTGAGTTATTTGTAGATTCTGATTATTAGCCCTTTATCAACATGCAGCATGCAAATATTTTCTCCCATTCTGTAGGTTGTCAATTCACTCTTTTAATTGTTTCCTTGGCTGTGCACAAGATTTTTAACTGAATCAGGTCCCATTTATTTATGTATTTATTTATTTATTGCTGTGATTGCCTTTGGGGTCTTTATAAATTCTTTGCCCAGTCCGAAATCTATAAGAGTTTTTGCGACCTCTTCTTCTAGAATTCATGTAGTTTCATGCCTTAGATTTAAGTCTGTCAAAACCACAATGAAATTTTACCTACTTCCAGTGAGAATGGCTTTTATCAAAAAGCCCCAAAACAACAAATGCTATTGTAAATGTGGAGAGAAAGGAACACTTATATGCTGCTGGTGGAATTGCAAACTAGTACAACCTCTCTGGAAAGTAGTGTGGAGATATCCCAAAGAACTAAAATAAGACTTACCATTTGATCCAGCAATCCTACTACTGAGTATTTATTCAAAGGAAAAGACATTCTATTAAAAAGACATCTGCACTCAAATGTTTATATATAGCAGCACAATTCACAATTGCAAAGATGTGGAAACAACCCAAGTGTCCATCAATTCATGAGTGGATCAATAAAATGCAGTATATGTTTACCATGGAGTATTATTACTCAGCCATAAAAAAAATGGTGAACTAACACCTTTTGTAACAACCCAGATGGAACTGGAGACCATCCTTTTAAGTAAAGTATCATAAGAATCGAAGAACAAAAACCATAGGTACTCACTACTAAATTGAAATTGAAACTTATAGATCAACACTCATGTGCACATATGGTAGTAAAAGTCAATGGAAATCAAGCAGGTGGTGGGGTGAGAGCAGGGGTAAATTCACATCTAACGGGTACAATGCACACTCATATGGGTGATGGACACACAACTTTGACTCAAACTGTACAAAAGCAATTCATGTAACCAAAACGTGTGTACTCCTGTAGTATTCTGAAAGTTTTATAAAGTTGTGAGAAATTGTCACTGAGCTACACTCCCACCCATTCAATACAAATTCCTTAGAAGGGATTCCTTTAAGCAGGGACTGAACAGAGTAGCCTGTCATTCAGAATAACAGAAACATCCTTCACAGGTAAATTGGAGAGTATGTGCTCATCAACGCCATGCTCTTGAGACTGCATGTCACGTGTTGCTGCTGCTGTCCTGTTGTCCTCTCTGTGCTTACTTGATCAGTGGTGGTGGTAGAGACGGCAGAGGAGGTGACGTTAAGATCGTGGCCCACAGGGTCCACTTGATCAGGCCTCTGACCTCATTTTATTTCACTCTCCACTGTGTTCACTATATCCTATATAGTAAGTTGATTTCTGTTTCTTTTTATCATTTCTATACCAGGCACAAAAGGAAATAATAGAAAAGAACAGGAAATAATACAAAGTAATCTCATATTATTGAAGAAGTGTCCCTTACTTCGAGATTGCAATGTAGTTGTAGTTTGGATTCTAACATGAGATTGCCTGGGCTTGAAACCTGGCTTTGCTATTTGCTGGCTGTGAGGCTTCAGACTAAATTCAGTTGATTCCATTGCCAAACTTTCTGTGCTTCATTTTCTTCACCTACAAAATCAGCAAAATACTAGTACCTACTTCATGGGGTTGTTGAAAAGATTACATAAGATAGTCTATGCAAAGCACTTATCTGGAACTAAAAAGACTCTCTAAATGGTAGGGTATAAATGCATTATGTTTTAACAGTGAGACACTTGACATAAGCAGTCAGCATCAAAATTGAACAACATGGGGAGAAATCAACATGTTTGGTGAAGGAAGGTCTTGAGCTAAGTAAGCATAAAGAATGTCACACCAAGTATAAATACATGCAATATATGTGTGTGTGCAGTGCATACATATGTCATACATATAATATGTTATGCATACAAAATATTTTAACTGAAAGGTTTGATTTGGCTTGGCAGAGAAGGAAAGGGCAAGCCCAAGAAAGGGGGTCACCTGAATAGAGATAAGGAAGTTGGGGAAGCAGTGGGAATGCACACAGTGTTGGGAGGATGGAGAGGCTGAGCTGATGAAAAGCAAAAGGCTCTGGCACACTGATCGTAAGAGATAAGGCTGAGAGACAAAACACACCACGAAAGAGAAGATTTTAAATTCCGGGGTAAGACTTTAAGAATTAAACCAGTAGGCAATAGCTTCAATAGGGAAGCCATTCTAGATTCTTGAGCAGGGGATCTGAACCTAACAGAGAAACAAACTTGATCTTCCTGGGTTTCTTTCAAAGTTACCTAACGAAGTCCAGGGCCTGTTAGGGACTGGGCTGCAGAGCTCCGCCCCTCATGCCCCCCTACCCCGCACTGTGCATGAAAAAATTGTCTTCCATGAAACTGAGGAACTTGGGGGAGTGCACAGCAGGAGGTGAGTGGCGGTGGGGGGAGCAAGCAAAGCTTCTAAGCCTCATCTGTAGCTGCTCCCCATTGCTTGCATCACCGCCTAAGCTCTGCACCCCGTCCATGGAACTGGTCCCTGGTGCCAAAAAGGTTGGGGGCTGCTGAAGGGAGACTGACAAGGGCCCTCTTAGGGGAGCTCCCAGTTGATGACAGTAAACATGCCGGGAGTTCTCTACCCAATGTTTCATTTCATTTTAACAGCAAGGCTGCAGAGTACATCCTGTTTCCACATCTTCTGGGGAAGGTTCAGAAAGGTTAAGAAAATGTCCAAGGTCATGTGACTAATAAGCAGCGGAGTCCCTTGTGTCTCCAAAGCCTGTGTTCCTTCTACTGTCCTATTCTAGTTAAATGGTTTTTAACATGGTGGGGGGATCATAAATGAGAAAAGCAACAGAAATTGGGAGAAATGGACAAGGTCATAAAAGAAGTAACCTCCACATCACTTAATGGTTCTAAATACCCTAGAAAGAAGTCTTCATGGGAACAATTAGAAAGCAACACTTCTCTGGAAATGGCTGTTGAAATTATAATAACATTATCAGTGTGGAGTAGGAACGTTGGTCACAAACTATGAAATTCATCCTGCCTAGTGTAAGCAGAAAATAACTTTATTGAGTGATATTAGGCCACTCAGAGAAATCCCAAATGGGCCAGGAAGTCCAAACACTCAGGACAGATTTCCAAACACACTTTCGGGAACAAAGATACCACAGCCACCTTCACTGTACCCAGATGACACTGGGGGCTGAGTGCCAGGGGCTCCACCCTGAGTAGCCACAGGCCTTCACCACCACGCTGCAGATGTGTTCCCTGCACAGGGCTGCCTCTCCACATTGCTCACTTCCAAATCCAAGCCTAGACGGGAGAGGGCTGATTAGTGTGACCTAAGTCACATGCTTGTTCCCTAAGCTATAAGGGAATCTAGGTTTGGGGTTGATTGTGGCTAATTTGTTTTTATTTCAGAATATTATGGGGGTACAAATTTTAAGGTTGCATATAATGCCCTTACCCCTCTCCCCCCATAAGTCTGAGCTTCAAGCGTGACCATCCCCCAGATGGTGCACATCTCACTCAGTATGTATGATTATGGCTTTTTTTTTAATCTTTAGTAATTAAAACTCATAATCTGGGAAATACCCAAAATATAAGCTCTGGAACAGTCATGATAACAAATGCCCATTCCTATTGTGTAAGGGAAGTTAAGAACCCGGCAGTGTCTGGCACTCCTCAGGGAAGAGGTGTGCTGACTGACGTGGGTGCGCAGCTCTGCTTGACAGGTTCAATATGTTATTACAGAATGGGAAGAGTGACTCACTAAATTTAATGAAAATGTCCATGAAGGCTCTCCAGCTCCCTTGGGTTTGATTCATATCCACCCAGAAATTTTTTGTAACCAATAAATTTCCCAAGCAAATGTTATCTGCTGGGGAGAGAACGAGCTTACCAACTACCAAGAAGAATATTCTGGTCTCTTCTGCAGTTACATATTATTGTGGGTTAATAAGTTCAGTCGTTGGACAATTGTACCAAGCATTGTACCAGGTACTGGATATCCAGTGGCAACCCAATCCCATCTGTGCCCTTGCAGAGCTTACAACCTGGTAAGGACAATAAACATGTGAATAGACAGTTATGGAGTGATGTGATCAACACAGTCCTGGTAAAAATGATAGGACAAGTGAGGAGGGACACTGAATCCCTGCCCATCTCAGGTGCCAAAAGAGGACACTGTGTGAGTGAAGACTTCACAATTAAGAGTCGACCAGATGGAGGGGCGGGAGAGGCATGTTAGGCTAAAGAAAGGCACAAAAGTAAGGAATATTAATTAGTTCTATTCATTCAACAGATATTTTCTGAGTGCCTACTACGTGTGCCAAGCTCTGGGATATAATAGAACATGGTAGGGGGGTGAGGGAGGGATACATGGTCATGCCACAGCAGTGAGACTGAAGGGGCATATGAACTTCACCAAACAGGGACATGTATGCCATGCTAAGACATTTAGAATTTACCCAGTGTTTTATCTTTTTAAGTTGATCTCTCTGGAGACTACATAGAGGATGGATCCAGCTTCTAAAATGTCCCTCTCCTGAGTCTAAACATGTGACTTCCCACCCTACACTGTGAACTTAAGTCTGTGTGTGTTAGCAGATGGCTTATTTAACTCATGTGACTCAGGATGGGTACAGCTTGCTATCTGCATTTTTATCTCTTTTGGCATTCCAGTGTGGTATCTCTGAGAATATAAGCATGAAAAGGGCAGGGAGCCTTCTGGTGACTCACTTAACAATAGAATATATCACAAATGGGCATTTCAACAAGGATTCTTGGAGAGGAACAAAGTCTTCTGGTACCTCCCTCGTGAGACACCTGGGTAGCTGCTATTTGACTTCAGGAAACAGTAGCATGAACAATAATTAAGCATTTGCATTTGCATAAAGATAGTGGGGGATTAAGAACAGAAGCAAATTAGATGCAAACCCATGTATCCTTAATAGAAAGAGAGAGAAAAGTACAGAGACAACAGCAGAGGAAAAAAAGCAACTCACGCATTTGTGCATTTTAAACCCTGTATTTAGGTGCAAACTATCATCGAGAAACATATCACCTGCCAGCTGCACTCAACAGGGGACGGGTACACGGAGCTCAGGGAAAGTGCTGCTTGCTGGCTCTACATTTCCATGCTAAAACCTTATGGCTAAACCTTGGAAAGAGAAAGAGAAGAAAGGGAAGATAGAAAAGCAGGAACTTGAACTAAAGTACAGACTCACTGTGTAATCATGACCAGGTACACGACCTCTATAGTCTATATGGTCAAGACAGCAGGGCCTCATAGGTGAAATAGATGACATGTGTATGTAATGTGAATGGTTGATTTCAACCAAAGGACACATGTCTCAAATAAAAGAATGCTTTTGGGGCCCGCAATCACAGGCTATTGGGAGCCAATGCGAAGAAGGGAAGAGAGAATGAGGAAGTGAGCAGGCAAGCATGCAGCATCTCATGCAGGCTTTCACCCATGGCATTTACAGTCCTGACACTCTATCCTCAACTTGCTCAGGAGCAAACCAGGTTCCCACTGGAAGAACTCACCTGAGGCTGACTTGGACGTCAGGATGTCAGTGGCTTAATGATGAAGACTGATCTGACTAAATGAAGATATTCTTGTCCTCCATACTGCACATGTCCCAGGGTGAGTCATTTTAGCCACGAATCCAAATCATTTATTATCAAGGGCTTAAATAAGACGTCAGGAAAAAAGCAATTGGATGATCTTATAGTATCATCTTATACTGATCTTATAGTATCAGTTCTCAAACTTTTATTGCCATAACACATATAACATCTTATAGTTATTTTTTTAAAAACCTCACAAATACAGACATTAACATAAAATATGCCTTCAATGAAATGAGTGAATAATATAAAACAAAGACTTCCAGATATCTACCAAAATCTACTCCTTATACTCTATTCCACAGCAAAAGAATGATATCCATACACATGGTTAAACTACATTTCCCAGATTCCCTTAAAGGGAGTGTGGTCATGTGACTGAGTTCTTACTTAACTAGGGGAATATGCATGAAAGTGATATGGGCTGCTGGGCCAGAGAATGGCGTGCCCTTCCAAGGTCTTGTCCTCATTCCTGCTGGCTGGAACCCAAATACAGCTGTACCTCAGTCATGGCAGACCACTAACAAAATGACTCCAGAGGAGATTAAACTTGAGTCCCTATGTCTCACATGGGATAGAGCTGCCCACTACCTGGAACGTTCACTTTACAGTGATACCTGTGGGAGAAATGAAACTGCCTCTTCTTTAAACCATGAATTTTCGAGGTATGGCAGAAAAGCTTAGCCTTTCTCCTAACTACTAATAATGATCAGTAAAACCAGTCTTATAAAGATTTTTAAAAGTATAATTTTTAAATAAAAAAGAAATAAATATGACTAAACTAGTATTCTTACTACTGAACAAACCTGTGTGCCACCGTTATTCGTTCACAAGGTCAACAAGTATTCTTTTTGCAATGTCACTCTACACTGTCAGATGACTCTGCTCATCTTTTCTTCCCAAAGGTACCTTTCTCTCTATGTCCCACCACTTGCATCACACCTCCTGGTCCCAGCCACTACGATCCCTTGTAATCATCCCTTAATTGGTCTTGCTGCTTCCACTTCTGTCCTTCTACAGTCTGCCTTCCACACAGCAGCCCGAGAAATCCTTTTAGGATGCAAATAGGATGATGCCACTCCTTTCTCAACTAAGAACAAGAGTTTAGATTTTCTTGGAATATCATTCGGAAATTAATCAGTGATGGGTTACTAGGCTATATAAGCACTTTAAAATATGAGGCTATTTTTAACTATAAGACATTTTTTTCTAAAATAGTCTAAGAAATGACATGCAATTATAATATATTTCCACTTATAATACAAGTCCATACTCCAGAGTTCTAACTTATTTTTATACTATGGCCGCCAAAGAATTTTTTCCCAGGTGTTCCCTATGTCCTATAGGGTAATGTCTAATGCATTGGCCAAAATTAAAGGCCTCCTTAATCTGGCCTCAATCTATCGTTTCTTCCTTTAATCTTACCATTGCAGCCAAACCATATTATTCAGTATTCCTTGGATACACTAGCCCTCCTCCATGGCTTCTGTTCAGGCCATTCCACTGGATGCCAGACTCACAATATACTGTTTATTTGGACTTGTGCCCCCTGAAAGACCCAGCAGAAACCCACCTTATCCAGAAAACCCTACATGGCCTTGCAGCCTGAAGTAATGCTCTCACTTCTCTCTCTGTCTACAAGATAATAACTCTAAATGAATCCTTTCTTAATTTCTCAGGCTTACCAGGTACTCTGTCCACTGGTGCCACCAAAGGCACTCTGTATGCCTCAAGAATTCCACTGTGTCCTACAATGTTTTTCCCATGTTGTTTCCTTCTAGGCTGTAAGAATATGAGAGCAAGGAATGTGACTTTCCATTTTGATTATCTGTTGTATGAATGGATAATATATTTAGCAATTTATCACATCTTATGACTGCTCTTAAATCTCATACTTGAAGTCATCTTTATCTACATTATTATTATTTTATTTTTCACAGGCCTATAGCATATCTTTCCATATAGGCTACAATCTCTTGAGGGTAGAAAACATATTTTATTCTTTATATTCTCTCCAACCATCCCAATCATTCTCTAAAATATAATGAGAGATCTCAAAATACTTGTTGATTATCCTACAGCAATATTTATGCCAAGATATAAGAATGTTCATTTCAGCTCTACTTGTCATGGCCAAAATTAGAACAACTAAATGAATGTCTGTCTCAGTCTGTGCTGCTGTAACAAAATACCACAGACTGGGTAATGTATAAATAATAGAAATTTATTTCTCACAGTTTGGAAAGCTGAGAAGTCCCAGATCAAGGTGCCAGCAGGTTGGGTATCCAGTGAGTTCTGCTGTCTCTGCTCCCAAGATGGCACCATGTTGCCACGTCCTGCTGAGGGGATGAGCACGATGTCCTCACATGCCATGAGGATTGCTGTGTCCTCCTGTGGCAGAAGGCAGAAGGGCAAAAGGGCCTCACTAATGGCCTCCAGCCATTTAATAAGGTACCATTTCATTCATGAGGGCAGACCCTTTGTGGCTTAATCACTTCCTCAAAGGCCTCACCTCTTAATACCACTACAATAAGGATTAAGTTTTCAACATGAAGCAGAATAAACATTCAAATCATAAAATAGTCATTAGTAGAGAAATGGTTAAATCAACTATGATTCACCCACACTTTGGTACATATTTCAGTAAGAAAAAAAAAAGAAAAGAAAAAGGGAGTAAATAAACCCATTTAATCTGGCAAGAAAATATATAAGAAAGTATATTTTTAGTTTAAAAATTTAGTTGTAGAGCAATAGCAATCCATTCAGTATGACTCAATGATATAAAATTATTCTATGGTATATATGAATGCTATTGCACAAGCAAATGTGTGAATGGATTCATAAAAAGCTGTTCACAGTGATAACCTTTGGTGAAAGGAATGGATTGATAAGGCCTGGAAGAGAGGGAGCATTTTTCTTTATTCAAGAAATATTAAGAGGCGATTTCTGTTTTAGGACTACACTAAAATCAATATTACAGAATCTGCTCAAATTTGCATGAAAAAAGACGTTATTAAAACAGAAATACTTTCCTCAGTAAAGTGAGGAAAGCATTTTAAATGACCAAGTTTTATAAAATTTGAAGTTCCATTCAAAATATTAAGATTAATTTTAGATCCCTTCTTCAGCAGATTTTCTTTTTATTTCTCTAAAATATAATATTAAATTTTTCGTGTTGTATAGTTATAACATTAGAATTAAAGTTTCCTTTCCCCTAATAACATCTGCCTTTGCTAGTCTAGACCCCTTTGATGAACAGCAGTGGACCTCAGTCATATCATGTAGAAAAAGAGGCAAATGACACTGGAGGGTGTTGTAAGAATTAAACGAGCTAAGTCATAAAAATTGTGTGACATGGGAGCTGGAACACCACAGGGAGTTAATAAGTGATGGGTGCTACCAATTTACACTAATCTAGCACCTGCTCTGGGCAAGGAGAGTATCTCACTCCGGTTGCATGGTTCCATACACCCACAAGGAATCACTCAGCTCTTTTCAAAGAATACTTTAAAGCTTTAGGAGGAAGATATTACTGGCAGGGGATTCAGAAAGAGAAATGCAAGAAGAATTTTATATTAGAAAACATCTAAATAATTCAGGAAGCCTAAAACACCACTTGTTTTGCTCTTCATAATACTGAATCTCCATCCAGACTTACCTGTCAGCTTGGCACAACCTTTCAAGAGAAAGATTAATCAAATTTAACTTTTTCGTCTATTATAGGCTAGAGATAAATGCTATATATAATCAGAACATTTGTTTTAGCATTGTCAGCAATTCCATTCTGTACAATAGTACTGAATTTTTAAAAATTTACTCTGATCACGGATGATTATTGAGGTTTTCTTATTATTATTTCAAGATGAAGCATTCTGAAAAGAAAATTTTCACAAGCATCTGATGTTCAAAGTAAATTTAAATCATGGCTATTGTATTTTTCAAAAGGTTATAAGACAGCTTCATAAATTGCTCCCGATATGATCAAACTCAGATAAGTAACACCAAACAGCCAGAACTCTTTAATATTTATGTCAGGGTAAAAATCTGAGTCATTAGAGAACATGTTTGTAAAAAGAAGAAACCCTAATATAGTCCAGTTTATCAAAATGGCCAGATCAGGTTTAATTTTTTTTAAATGTGAAATACAGACCACATGCCCAGCACTGTGCTAGGGGTTGCTGAAATTCAAAGGAAGCCAAATAATGGAGTTCTTAGCCTCTGAAAGACTGAAATTTAACCAAGAAGACAAATTACACTCCCATGGAAATAAAGAATAACACAACTTAGAATTAAGTGCCAAAATGGGTGCAACATGCAGTTAATCCTATGAACAAACAGAGAGAGGACAAGACCAGAGTTATAGGAGCTACTAAGCTGCAGATATTTGCATTAAATAATTTTCATATATTAATATGGGACTAACTACTTTAAAAATAAAGCACTGTTTAAAGCCAATAAAACCACCTATTGATGAGTTGTTGCCACTTTTTCTGACAAGTAATTTAAGTATCATTTTCTGAACTTCTGCAAGGGTACAGAGGTTTCCCCTACCTTTATGATACTTACCCTCCTCTTGCTGAAATGGTATGGATTGAACATCTTGCATTTGTTTAAAAACTATTTCAGAGCCACCTAATTATTTTATTTCTTTGGCTATAGTTTGAGATGTTTCTGTTTATCATAGAGCAATATTATTAATGTTTTCAGATTTTTAACAAGACAAAAATATCTAGTCTGATAGCCAGGATCTGAAGACCTGTTTTCGGGGCCTGTTTTTCAGTTAATTCAGAGAAAATGCTCTCTTTACTAACATAGCTATTGTGCTATAGAAAGAGCACAGGCTTTTGAAATTAGAAAAAACTTACCTTTGAATCTATCTGACCCATCTCACCTTGAGCAAATTACTTAACTTCTCTGATCCTCAAGATCCTTATCTACAAAATGAGATTAATTACTCCAACTTCCAGCTGTGCAAGGCTTCTCTGAGGGTTACGTAGAATGTATGAGAAACACCCAATAGAGAGTTGGAGACGCAATAGCGAGTTGGAGACGCACAGTAAGGGAGAGTTAATATAATTTTTACTCGTGGGCATATAATTTTTATATTATTATTGATCCTGGTAGTACAAGCCTCATCTGCCAAGCTGTGCTATATTTTGTCTTATGCTGTTTGTAATACCATATCAAGAATTCTCATATCCAATAGTTCTGAGATATGTAAGATTGTTGTTGTTTTACATTTCCAATCTTTGGATGGTAAAACTTAACCTGACCTGATGTCCGTTTATGTATAAATTTTATTTATCTCACGAAGCATGAATGCTCAGATTTTGCTGCAGAAATAGTGAAGTGTTGACTACGGGATATTGCTGTAGAACTTAATCATGGTGGAGTATAACACATGGTGTATACATCATTGTGTCTGTCTAAAAATTTCCAATATCTGAAATGCTTCTGTTCCAAGGGTTTCAGATAAAAAGAACTGTGGATGTCTAATATTTTCCATTAACTAACTTTGTCTTGTATTACTATAATTTAGCTGGTTTTAATTCATGTTATATTTGTGTGTATCTTTGTAACAATTTTTAGATCACTTTATTGAAATATGATTGACATACAAAAAGCTGTACACATTTAATAGCTTGATGAGCTTAGAGGTAAGTATACACTCATGAAAATGTCACTGCAATCTATACCACAAGCATATCCTTCATCTCCATAAGTTTCCATTCACTTTCTTTATGCACGTATGTATCTATGTGTGTATGTATTTTTTATAATAAGAACATTTAACATAGGATCTGCTCTCTTAGCAAATTTTAAAGCATATGATAAAAGTATTGTTAAACTCTAGGCACTATGCCATATAGTGGATCTCTAGAACTTATTCATCTTGCATAACTGAAACCTTGTACTCTTTGACTAAAATCTCCCCATTTCCCTCTTCCTCCAGCCCCTAGAAAACACCATTCTACTCTCTGCTTCTGAGTTTAACTATTTTAGATTCCCCATGTAAGTAGTATCATATAGTAATTGTCCTTCTATGTCTGGTTTATTTCACCTAGCATAATGTCCTCTAGGACATAT